ATCCAGTTATCGTCGCTCAAGATAAAATCAACGCATCAACAGCATCATTCCAGATGATATTCCAGTATGATACAGAGTGGTATTCTGTAAGACTGTCGCGATATTGTTCTGCTTTTCAAACGGAAAAAGATGTGGTTACAAAATATTAATGTGATTCGTCTTTAAGTCACAAATTGCTCGTTTTATACGAACGAATTTTTCATGAAAAGTTTCAGAGTATGAAAGTTATATTTTACGAACTAGTACATCATATACTGCGCGATTTCTTTGCCGCAATTCGTAGTGGTTTAAGATGTAGTAAAGAGGCATTTAATTTTTTTTATAAATGAGCGGTGTTTTTGAATACTGTCATGAAATAAAGGCCTTAAAAATGTACAATGCGATTCAAATAAGAATAGGACAGAACGTCACTGACCTCGAATGAACATGATTTGTGAACTCTCACTTGAAAAGTACGACGTGCAAAGATAATTAATTTATCACTTCTATATTTATTTTACTGAGCATTACCAAATCTATTAAAGTCATAAGTAATTAGTTTTAAATATAATTTATAACTGTTTCTTGTCTATTTTAATTGTTGACAACATTTCGCCAAAAATACCTACATACGAGTGGTATGTGTTCCATTTTTATAGGGTAAAGCGCAGTAATGATGATGATGATGATGACAATGACGACTACTCAGACAGTAATACAGAGATGAGCGGAATTGAAGTGCTAGATTCCGATTAAAACTAAAGTAAAGTAAAATTAAACTATATTTACATTTACTTATTTGTAAATAAGTATTATTTCAAAAATATCTGTTTTGCTCACCCTACCTAAGTGGTTTGGATTGACTGCAATGACGTCCTAATATGGCGCCAGGTCAGTCCTATTCTTATTTGAATCGCATAGTATTCCTTTTGGGCAAACACAACGCAGTCGCCGTAGCTATTCAGATTTATTTTTTTACAGTTTCATACTCTGCGACAGAACTCTGCCGTGTGCTGCGTAAATCTCACACTACAGAACACTATTTACCTGGTGGCGCCATCCACAGCTGTTAGTGGTAGATACCGCATGTTTAAAACTATATAAAATTTTAAACGTGGTAGAGCCATGCTGCACCTATATTAGTAGTGTAGTTGTAGCACGAATGGGTCGGCTTGACCGGAGAAGGACCACGCTCTGAATACAGGCGTAAAATAGCAGCTTAACACTACTGTGTGTTCGTATGGTGAGTGTAGAGACACTCACCATACGAACCGGAGACCCTTTTTACTGGAAATGAGGCATTCCATCTTAGTCCTCACGGGTGACAACGCATCTGCGTTTTGATTCGCAAATGAGGATAAATGTAGATGTCTATGGGCCACAGCAACCACTTACCATCAGGTGGACCGTGTACTCGTTTGTCACCATATCCTATAAAAAAAACTTTACGGGCAGTCGCCCGTAAATTTTTAATAAAATATTTCCGAACTAAACTATTACTACCAAACAAAACACAAACACTAAAACTTTTTATTTCCTAACCATTTCGCTGCGTCAGGTCGTTTCGGTGTTACGTGCCTAGCCATTTCAACGTAAAATGATGAGTGCAATTGCTTATTCACACAAATATGTAACAAGCCAATACTCGCATCGGGAAAACCGCAAGTGCCGATGAAATTTTGTCAAGAAAACGACGCTATATTTTCAACATTACTGTACCCGTCGTCTTCTTGGACAGCATTCTTTCTTGGAGCGTTATAAAAAATTACAATAATTCAACACTCGGCTCGGCGCGCGATAGACGCCTATCAAATTAATAAATAATTTGCTGTGAAATATTTTTGGTTTTTAATTCATTTCATGTGAATGTTTCACTTCTACCGCGTGACTCTGACACACATGCTTTTTTTTATTGAAGATTCTATCAGACTGCTTTTTCATTCATTCAGTCAGACAATCAGCTTAAGGTAAGGGCCGGTATTAGAGCCTACACATAAATTTATGACGTTTCTCCCAGTACATTTTATAGTAAACGTGTGATTGATTTTTTTACTCTGGCTTTCTTTGGTAATATTAATTCGTAATAAATATATTTAAAAAACCATGTACAATAAGTTCATTTATCACAAAAGCATACAGAAGACTCTGTGATAAACCTATAACATAACAAAAAATTAACCGATAACACAACAATTATACTGAAACACTGAATGAGACATCTAGTGTGGTTATCCAACACTGATTCTAAATACGGTGAAGTTTTCTGCTTGTAAGCTGAAGTTTATAACTTTCAAAGGACAATTTAGTAACCTGAAGCTTTTCAATATACAGAGATACACAAGCCATAAAACTTAATGGATGTATATATAGATGGCGTTGATATAAAGTCATAAAATAGTCTTCAAATCAGGTCAAGTTGCCTTCATTTCTTTTTATTAAAACAGGGGTTTTCTTATATTTCTTTTTTACTGCAGCCCATGGACATTTCTTAAAAACAAAGAAGGCTACAGATGCGTTATCACCCCTAAGAACCAGGATGGAATGCTCACAAGCTGTAAATACACCGCAATCTATAATATAAAAATGAATTGCTGAATGTGTTGCTAAGCGCAAATTTCGAGAGCAGCTGAACCGATTTCGCTAATTCTTTTTTTATACTATTCCTTGAAGTACGCAGACGGTTCTTACGGAGAGAAAATTTTAAAAAATTGCCTGAAAAAGTCTAAAAACAACACTTTTCTATATTCCCATACAAAAGATTCGTAATAATACTTAAAAGTCAATTTGAACTTTAAAACCATACCATAAAGTTTAATTGTTAGTGGAGGAGTTCCGGGAAGGCAAAACAATTGAGTGACGTTAGTATCGTATAAATATTAATGTCAATATTTATACGATGGTAATATTACTCAAAAACAAATTTAGGGTTCCGCGCAAAAAAATTGATATCCATGAAATCGTAGTAAATTCCACGCGGGCGAAGTCGCGGGGCACAGTTAGTATATTATATATTGCCGTATATTTATATTCAGATATTTACATTTCAGACTGAAACACAGCAGTGCAAGCACTGAAATGACATTTTTATAGTAAAACTACTTAAAGGTGAACTAGGCGTTGTACGCAAAAGCTGTTCATTAGTGCAAGAATTTAAAAAGCACCTTAAAACTAGAGAAATGTATAAGAATTTAAATATGTATATCCAAAATTTCTTTCGTAACATAATATTTGCACTCAGTTTCAGTTATTAAACAGTAGTGCAGGCACTGGTGGTTTTAAAGTGCTAAGATGTTTGTACAGAAGGGCTACGGTGGTTATCCGAGTATAGAACCAGAGTACGTAACCTATCGAACCATTGCTAGAGTACCTAAGCCTTCCTTATATATTACTATACTCTTTGACCTAAGCACTATGCTCAATGACCTCAACAGTGAACGGATAGGTCTTAAGATGAACATGGACAAAACAAAGGTTATGTGTAACGTCCATATTACACCTCTGCCGGTATTTGTAGGGAGCACAATGCTCGAAGTTGTTGACGAGTATGTTAACAAATAGTTCAACTAGATAAGCCCAACTTCGGTCAATCGACGGATTCAATTCAGCTGGGCAGCATTCGGGGGATTACGACTCTCTTCTCTTCTCTTAAGACATACCTCAAAACATTGCATGTTGCCAAAGATGTCCTATGAATCTGAAACGTGGTCCTTCACTGCAGGCCGTATGAGGAAGCTCAAGGTCGCTCAGCGAGATATGGATAGTAATGACATTATAAAATACTGTGACAATAGATTTGTGTAAACTTAAATACGATACATGAACGTCATAAGTATACGAGGGTGACACTGAATGTTTTTAGAACTGGCCACTTGTAAATCTGCGTGAGGGACGGCCTTCTACGGCGACGACTGAAGATAACATCAGTGTTGTGCGGCGTATGTATGGAGTGTAGAGAGAAGGAGGACCATCTCTATATATGAAGTGTCCCTAAAAACGTGTCCAATAAGGGTGGCGCTGCAGTAGCATAGGATAATATAAAAAAAAGCGCCAAAAGTAATTAGAATAAGATGGAGAAATAAACAAGGACAGACCATCCGTTTGGTTTTATACTACGTAAATAGTTGAGATTTTGTATACTGGCATTTTACTAACTACTCTAGTCATGAAATTTTTAAATATTTGAATTCAGCTGACTTCACTCCGTTCACAACAGCTATCTTCATATCGATCGTAGTTTTTCAGACGCCAGCGCTATTGTGGTAGGTTTTGAAACCTATTATACATTAATATATACCTATTATACCTTAATAATGACCTATTATATATAACTACTACTTTCAGTAAATAGTAGGACACTTTTTCAACTTTCGCCCCTTATAAGATGTTTCTCCTTGTACTCTACACTCCATAGGCGTATGTTAGAGACTGACAAAAGAGTGACTTATCAGCAGATTTGGACAAGCTTAGGCATTGGTAAGAGCCAAGTGCACAAAATCCTCCATGAACATTTGGCGGTCCGGAAGCTTTGTGCCCGGTGGATACCTCATAATTTGATAGAGGCCCAAAAACTCCTTCGTGTTGATTGGTGTCGTGAAATGGTTCAAAGATTTAACGGAGGTAGCTCAAATGCTGTGTTCGATATGCTTACGGGAGTTTTAATTTTTTTATAGGATAAGGGTGACAAACGAGCACACAGTCCACCTGATGGTAATTAGTTGCTGTGGTCCATAGACATCTACATCTATCTTCATTTGCGAATTAAAATGCAGATACGTTGTCAGCCATGAGGACTAAGATAGAATGCCTATTTTCCAGTAAAATGGGTCTCCGGTTTTCTACACTCACCATACGAAACACAGCAGTGTTAAGCTGCTATTTGACGCTGGTATTCTGTGAGAGCGTGGTTCTTCCTCAGTCGAGCCGAGCCGTTCGTGCCACAACTATACTATTAATATAGCTGCAGCATAGCTGTACCACGTATAAAATTCGAGGTGGAGGTAGTAAAACAACAATAATTATTTAGTAATTAACTATTTATATATTTCCATAGTCTCTTAAAGTTATAAACTATTTCTCCTAACGCTCCGCACTCGCAATATTTGGTTTAGGTCTAGAAAAGACGAATCAACATTTATTTTCAATTAACTTAATCATAATCAACAGTTGAACAAACATCCAAAAGATTACATTTATTACGAAAGTAAATGTAAACTTAAAAACAATGTTAGTGTTCCGTCAACTAAAAATTCAAGAATACTGCTTCATCTTTATTAATTATCGTAATAATTATTATATAAAAAAACTACACTATCATAGTGGGGAATGTTAACTTTGGTATAAAATATTAATTACAAACAACAAAACATATCAAACTCAAAGACACTCGAGAAATGACGCTTAAATTAAACATAAATTAGAAAAATACTGATTAATTAATAATCTAAAACCAGTTATAATATATTTACAATAACTGGTGAACTTAAGTAAAAGGAAACAAAAATCTGTGCTGTTTTCGTCTAAAGGAATAATTGCACTGATGAAATAAAATAAAAGTTATAAACATGTTTAAATGAGAGTAAAGTGGATACTGGGAAAGTACCTATTGTATAACCTATATAGGTTCAGGAAATTCTAACATTTTAATAGACTATAAGATCACGCCTATCCATAATTTCGTTTTTATTTTTCTAATGCTCCAACAAGTATAGGTTATCTACAATCAATCAAGGCGTAATTTTGTAGGTACCGTTTTCTAGCATATATGACAACCAAATTTTACTACTTTACGTCACAACATTGAATGATTTTCTAATGTCTTATGAAACAGAACGACTTGAATAAGTTTTCTACTGTTAAACTCTTGTTATATAACGTTGAATGTCAAATAGTCGTTCCGATGTTGCTATTAAATACCAAAATCAAATATTATCTGTATGTTAGGTTTCTAATTTATAAAAATTGCTCGCACAACTCTTGAACCTGCGAACTGATTTTAAATACTCTTACATTTCTTCTAAATTGAAATATAAATTCTATACATAAAATAAATATTTAAACACACATTTGCTATTATTTTTGTAATATTAATATATAATCCTCTATGTTAAAGAATCTTTGTTAACACAAAAATATCGATAGAAAGAAAGGAAAACTGTAATGGTTTACAGTTTATCACAACATTAATAATTAATAATCTAAAGACGAAATTGAAATATTCGTTTTGGTACAACATAGAAGAGTCGAATTATATTCTCTCTAATTTATTATTTATTCATAAATATTAATATTAAATAATTCTCATAGCAGTTTTAATCAGTCAGCAATGACTTAAAGTTGTTTGAAACCTAAAGGCAAAATAGGGATCTCCCTGTGGGTTTCGTACATCCCCACCGCCTGAGAAAAGTAAGTTTTTTAAGGAAGCGAAAAATGAGAGATATGGAATGATGAGATAAATCTGAGACTTGTACTGCCTAGAAGCTTATAAATGGTTTTATCCAACTCAATTAGCAATGTTAAATCGAAATAGTAGTTGTAAATATTTTGATTTTTTCCTTATGCAGATACTTCTGGCACTCACACACACGTCACCATGAATATAAATATAAAGAGACAATAATGCGGTATTAGGCCAGCTTGACGTGACATTTGCCACTTTTATAAATAGAATTTGTCATAATATATCAAAAATATCTACGTAATAAAAAATACGTAGGTACAAATAATGGTATTGCAAAACATGAACGAATATTGCACAATCATTTCTAAAACTACAAAAGCTTTATATTGTAACGAAATAGAATGGTTTAAATTTCATACAGCATCAGCAGAACATTGCGTAACTAAACCGCCTGCACGTTTTTATATAAAACTTTAATAAGTTAAATATTAATTTGTAATCCTGCTGGAGATAAAGCCTTCAAAATCAAATATAATTATATAATCATAAGGATGCAATATATTGAGGGAATCGGAAGTATTAATAATCTCAAGCCGTGGAGTCATGCGATGATGGATTTGGAATAACAGTGCTGGTGGCTTGTTGCTCGCGAAGTTTCCTCACTTCTTTCGATAAAGCGGACAGGTCTGCTTGCAGTTTGATCTCTCTTTCTCGTAAGCATTTTATTTCGTTTTGCCACGTCTGAAATAAATAAAAATTCATTAGTATAAAATTAAAAAAAAAATAATATCTTTATATACTTAGAAAAATTTAGTGGATTTTTTTTTATAGGATAGGGTGACAAACGAGCACACAGTCCACCTGATGCCTGATGGTAAGTGGTTGATGTGACCCATAGACATCTACATTTATCCTTAATGAAGAATCATTTTGATTCTTCATTAAGGATGCAGATGCGTCGTCACCCGTGAAGACTAAGATGGAAGGCCTCTTTTCCAGTAAAATGGGTCTCCGGTATGGTATGTTCTCCGGATGCTGTAATCCATAGATACCACCATCTATCCTTGGTTAGTAACCACACACATGCACTTATTTGTCATTACCGACCGACCGTGACAGTACACTATAGTAACAGTGAAAGAATATCTACTACCCTCTTTTCGTCGGATGTCGTAAGAGGCAACATAGGAAAATAAACTACGAAATGAGTAGCAGCGTCTTCCTAAAAACAACTAGAAAATGAAACCTATCCAATTGCAGAGAGGTGTAAGACAGGGTGACGTTATATCCCCGAAACTCTTCACCGCTGCATTGGAAGACGTTTTCAAGCTTCTGGACTGGAAATGATACGGTATTAACATCAATGGCGAGTACATCACTCACCTTCGATTTGCCGACGATATAGTCCTTGTGGCAGAATCGCTGCAGGACCTAAGCACTATGCTCAATGACCTCAATAGTGTTTCCAAACGGATAGGTCTTAAGATGAACATGGACAAAACAAAGATCATGTTTAATGTCCATGTCACATCTATGCCGGTAGTTGTTGGGAGCACTAAGCTCGAAGTTGTTGACGAGCATATTTACCTGGGACAAATAGTCCCACTAGGTAAGTCCAACTTCGACCGAGAGGTCAATCGACGGATTCAACTCGGTTGGGCAGCGTTTGGGAAATTACGGCACATCTTCTCGTCAGGTATACCCTAAAACTTGAAAACGAGACTGTACAACCAGTGCGTGTTGCCAGTGATGACCTATTCAATTCAATTCAATTCAATTCAATTTGTTTGCTATTCTTTTTGTACATCTGTTCTTAATTTAAAAAAATTATTCAAAACAAGAACCCTGCAAGGGCACTGCAAATATAGGCAATTGTTAATATTATTATTACATTCACATTATAGTATTATTAATAAAATTATCATTTAATGAATATTTACAATTAACTTAAATATTAATGAGATCATATTATATTTTTTATTCCAATTTTCTATTCCTACTCAATGGATGAATAACTATGGAACTGAGACGTGGTCCTTCACTGCTGGCCGGATGAGGAAGCTCAAGGTCGCTCAGCGAACTGTGGAGAGAGCTATGCTCGGAGTTTCTCTGCGTGATAAACTTAGAAATGAGGATGTCCGCAGTAGAACCAGAGTGACCGGACATAGCCCAATGGATTAGTAAGCTGAAGAGACAATGGGCCGGCCATATAGCTCGAAGAACCGACAACCGATGGGGGTAAAAGGTTCTCGAGTGGCGGCCTCGTACCGGCGGACGAAGTGTAGGGCGTCCCCTCACTAGATAGAGTGACAACCTGGTAAGATATGCAGGAAGTCGATGGATGCAGGTGGCTCAGGACCGTGCTTTGTGGCATTCCTTGGGGTAGGCCTATGTTCAGCAGTGGACTTGTGAAAGGCTGTAATGATGATGATATGGCTTGTCAAAAAGCCAAGAGGTAGTGCATAGCTTACGGGTACTTAAATAACAATAGGAATGTCGACTTTTCATTCTTTAAATACTGTTCCTAAGGATACCGAAAGGTAATATATTATTATTTAATGGTTGATCTAGATAATTAGGTACTTAGTTATTGACGCCATACAAATATTTTTTCCGCGTCTAGATGTTTGTCCTTGTACAATTTATGTTTGTTAACTGCCTTCACGATACAGGAGAAAATCATAGTGTGGGGATAACCGTTTTTTTTTTAACCTCGGAGTATTCTACTATACCAACTAATATCAAGGGATCAATTTGTTTTCTCACAATACCTAACCCTAGAAGCATTCCTAACAAAGGCGCGTAACGGGCTAAGTGATACAGACACTCGCACGCGGACGTAAGGTGCATTTTGATTTAATACGCGCGCCAAATAATTTTTTTTTGATGAAATAAACGGTAGGCTAATTTCACGAAGGTCACTTCCGAGGCGTGCAAAGTATAAATATATATATATAATTATAATAATTATAGTAAAAATAAAATAAATAAATATTAGCGACGTTGTAACTAAGTTTAAACTCGCTAGTTTGCTATCAGAGAGTGATCCTTCTGTTCTTTTAACTATTATTTATTCTGTGCTACAACTAACAAATCTATATATTAGTAGATTTTATATCTTGGTCTTTAGGCGGTACGCTTCCCGCCATTTAGAAACTTAGATAATTTAACTCACAATGTTCTGCTTGAGTAGGTCCAACTTGTCGTTCTTGAGGCGGCACACCTCCTGCCGCAGCAGCTCGGCGTCGCCGCGCGCCGCGGCCGCCAGCTCGCCGCGCGCGGCGCCCGCCTCCGCTGACGACATCGACTCTAGGCCCGTGTCGCTGTCCACGTATACTGGCGTGCCTGGAAATCGTCAGATTTTATTCGTTTCCAATTTATCGAAATAATGACGGCAAATTCCGAGGCAATATAATGGATTTAATTCCCTTTCTTATATTAAATTTAATTCCCATATTAAACAGATTCTAATCCACGATATTTCAGTTTCCCGGTTTACTTCGTACGTAAGCATTGCACCCTCAATTCTCATATGAACAACTAAAATGAGCGAAATATTTAGTGTTGGTTTAATTCAATTCTCCAATCTGATAAGTTTTTAAACTGTACCATAATGATTGAACATAATGAATACGATTAAAAATTGTGACGTGGTCATACTTACTCGAATGTTGAAGTACATTAAAACTTTTTTGAATATTAAACAATTTAAATGAATGAACAATGAAAACGACAAAACAATAAATACTATTTTTATATTTATCTAAGGACTAACCTGTTGCGCCTTTGCCACAACTCAGCCAGTCCTTGTCGTCTAATTGAAAGAAGAGAATAACATTTAATTTTAAGATTATTTATCACTAAGCTACATATATACTTATACAATTAATAAAAAAAACGATAAACAACATAATTAGATAGTCTAAAATGTTTTATAGAGTATTTATGAATTAGTGTATATCTTTGTCTTGTGTATTATATATTTTTCACTACCTTTTGGTTTTTTTTTCCTTAAGCATTTCATTGGCCTGAAGCAAATGTGTTATCAAAGTCAACTATTTATAGCTTAAGGCGATTTTTGGTAATAAAACAAAAGTTACAAAAGTAGAATTTGTTTTCATTTCGTACTTATCTAATTATTCGTACTTTTCTGGAAAAGCCCCTCTGGCTTCCTCCTTGCGGAAATGTATAGTTTATGAGTAATATTTTTTTTTTTTTGTAAAATCATAACTTCACTTTTTTACACAGGAATATTGACACAGTTATTTATGCAACGGCCTCGGCGCTGCGGAAAGTGCAGCCCCTTCGACCTAGCATAGCAAATCACAGTCACCCATGCTCACTTACTCAGCTTCGGCTTATTGGTCGTCTTCAGCCTCAGTCGCTACTGCTCGCACAGATGCCTGCGATTTACTATAACGGACGGGGGCTGCTCTCCCTCCGCGCCTACGGCTTCACAAAAACACTTTAGGGGTATGGCAGGTAAGACTACGTGAAGTCGAGGCGTTCTGGGTCGGTTTTAGTACAGACTCGGCCTATATTATCTATAATATATAACTGATAAAGAACAAAAAATGCCGTTCATACCTTATAGTAAGGTAATGGTGATCCCGGACCCGATAATTCCCAGAATATTACCGTTATCGACATCCGACCTCAATAATCTTTCAGCACTTAATTAGCACTTACTTCCTTGCAATTAATATTTATCCAATATTTATTATCGTCACGGCGTTGCTAGCGATACGTTTTACTAGTAACGCAAATTTCAATAGTTTGTTGCGGTGAACATTTTGGAGCACCTAATTTTTAAACTTGGCACCTAATTAGCACCTAAAAAGCCCCTAATTTTGGCTTTTTCTAAATGCAAATTCCTGACCTTGCGTTGCTGGTGACACAGCTAAATTTCTGATTTTCAGGTTTGTTTCCAAGTCTTTATACAAGTACTGTGTGGCTATCGGTGTGTTGCTGACACTCTTTACGAAATTTTCTTTGATATTATTACTTTTTTTTTTTTTTTTATAGAATAAGGGTGACAAACGAGCACACAGTCCACCTGATGGTAAGTGGTTGCTGCGGCCCATAGACATCTACATCTATCCTCGATTACAAATCAAAATGTAGATGCGTTGTCACCCGTGAGGACTAAGATGGAATGCCTCATTTCCAGTAAAAAGGGCCTCCGGCCACCTGCACTCACCAAGCGAAACGCAGAGGTAAACCTCCACTTCACGCTGGTTTCCTGTGAGGTCGTGGTACCACCCCGGTTCGAGCCGGCCCATCCGTGCGACAGCAAAAGCTGCCGCGTGGCTCTACCACTGTTAATTAGAGTTATAATTGACGCCTGATCCAATAACATCTACATGTTTATAAACAGTTAATTGCAAGAAGGGCTTATTTAAATTTGTGTATTTGTCATAATGAAATCGTTCTCGGATAAATTGACGATGTATTAAACGTAACTGAAAGCATTGGCACTATAATAGTATAAATTATAATATTTAAAAACAGAAAAACAGAACAACAGCGTAAAACATACAGTATAAATTTGGTGTTTCGTATGGTACGTGATGCGTTTATAAGACCCAATGATAGCAACGACTATATGATGCGAGATATATGCGTGTAAGTTCATGCATTTGAAGTTTTATGTGTACGTAAGTGTAAATAATGTAAAAATGTTATGTATAAATGTAATTGTGCGCGCATAACCGAGCGCACGTCGACGAGTCGATTCTTTGGGCTACGCTGCACTGACAAATCGTGTGTAAACATGTGCGTGGCAAGATGCGTGTACATTTGTATGTGTGTGTACGTTTATCCACCGAGTGGATAGTAGCTACATTGGTCGCCGGGGCAAATACGAGTATATGTGAATGAACGTGTGTAGATTATACGTGCGTGTGTGCGTCCCATCGATCGGCTCGAGGAGTTACTGTTGCAGCTACGTGATTTTATGTGCGTAAATGTATGCGTAGTATGGGTGTCTCACCAAGCGGGTCGAGGTCGACGGCGTTGACGAGGGAGTCGTGGCTGTGGTCGTGTTCTTCAAACTACTCCACTCAAGTCGTGCGTGAACGTTTGCGTGGCAGCAAGGTGCGTGTACGTTTGTATATGTGCGCATGTACGTGTCACCGAGTGGATCTGTAGTGGTGACATTGGTCGCAGGGGCGGGGGCAGGGGCAGCTACGATTACATGTGAATGAACTTGTGTAGAATGTATGTGCTTGAGTGCGTCCTACCGAGCAGCTTTTTGTGTGTAAATGTGTGCGTAGAATGGTTGTCTCACCGAGCGGGTCGAGGTCGACGGAGTTGAGGCTGGAGTCGTCGCTGTGGTCGACGGGGCGCGGCGGCGCGGCGCGCGACGTGACGTCGGGGCTGGAGCCGCCCGAGCCGCCCGCCGACCGCACCGACACCGCCGACGCCGACGACGACGCCACCGACGTCTTCGACCGCCCACTCTGTCGACATTTTGATTTTATAGAATACGGGGGATAAACGAGCACTGTCCACCTGATGGTAAATAAATGCTGGGGCCTATAGATATCTACATTTAACCGTGTATATATACTACATCATTAAGAATCTAAACGCAGTTGCGTTGCCACCCCCGAGGACTAAGATGGGGAATGCCTCGTTTCCAGTAAAAAGCGTCTCCAGTTCTCTACACTCACCATACGAAATACAGCACGCTGGTATTCTGTGAGAGTGTAATCCTACCTCGATCGAGCCGACCCATTCGTGCTACAGCTAAAGAATATAGCTGCAGTCCATTATTTCGTATTGATTCGCTTAGTTAAGAATTCTGAGTGAGGTGGTTGTGGGGTGTATTGAATTGCCTGCTATGATTCAAAATTAATTTATAAACATTTATTGCTATACAAAACAAACACTATTGCAATTGTGTTTAGTATAGACATAAATTTAAATCCTTCTTATCAGGGTTTTTTTTAACTATATTTTTCTTTCAATATCATTTGAACAGTTTGTATGTAAAAAACAAAAGACGAATCCATTGTTAACTTTTTCACCAAATACCAACCTCACCTGCATGCCGTGCATTATTTTGATTGGCGGACGGTTTATACATAAACAATTATCTATCCTTGTCCTTTTCCAGCAGTCCGTCTAAAGTACCTCTTACCAATTTCTGCTGTCAAGCAGAAATGCGTGCATTACTATTCTCCGGTCTGATGGGAATAGAAAGACAGCATAATTACGGACTGTGAGACATTTCACCTTAATTTTCAGAGGTCTGTAGAGGGGACTTCAACCAAAGAACTAACTCACTTCAAACGACTAAGACTAACTTCAAACGAACAAAGCTACAGGGACAACTTTAGTTTTCTTCGTTTGTAGTTGCGCATGTCCATAGGCTGTAATAACCACTTACCATCAGGTAGGCTGTGATTTTGTTTGTTACTTCAATTTCATAAAATAATACACGGTCCAGAGCTACTTGCCTCCATCGACTCTCTGTATGTCCCTACCAGGTCGTCACTGAATCCACCCTACACTGTTATTTACTCTGCTTTCAATTTTGTTAAGAACTATCAACATCTAACCGGCAACGCATCTGCAATTCTCTTGGTGTTGCGGTTGTTCATGGGCGGCGGTAGTCACTTACCATCAGGTGAGCCGCATGCTCGTTTGCCCCCTGTTCTATAAAAAAAATAATCTATTGGACTAACTTCAACAAAGAAAATTACTTTATCAAAAAATAAAAAACAAGCAGCACTTACATTAGGTGTGGGTGTCTCGTGAATACTAATTTTCTTGTTGAGAGAATTTTTCATGTTGTCTCCTGACGGATCGCTGGGTGATCTGTAAATACAACAAATATTTTACCGTATTAATAGTGTATTTTCATAAAATGTTTAAAAGTTTACATGCTTTCATGCAACTTCATTAGCGTCTAACTTAAGTTTGTATATACTACAGCTAGAATCAATATCTGGAATAATTATTTCAAATGTTTGACGGATACGCACTGTGACTAAGCGTTAAATAGCCTACAAATAATTATTTCTAGTCTGGGTGTTTGTCTATGTGCAATTTATGTATGTTGTATGAGCACTATTCTTTGTGTGTATAGTGTAGTAATATTTTAATCAATCAAAAATCAATTAAGGTTTGAAATTTGAATAATTTTGGATTACTGAAACTAAAAAGTAAGCCTAGTAACGTGCGTGCTAGCTTCGTATCCCGTAGGCCTTAAAAATAATTTCATTACATGAACCGATTTAAAACAATATATAAATATAACAATATATCAATGCTACCAATTAAAATTACTTATATTCCCAATAATAATGTTATATATAAGACTTTATTCGCGATATTAGTCAAATAGCCCGTTACTAATATTTATACGGATTACCTATAAATTATAGATTTTGTCATTATCCTAATCAATCAGGCTACTATCAAATATCGATCAATAATCAAGAAAATTATATGGAACTGCTTATAACGTATACGTACCTTACTTTGTAAATTAGGGCCTTTTTTACAGTGTCTATAAACCTGGCTCCAGGGCCATCTTGTTTCGGCGTTCCCTCCGGCTGCGGTGAAACTGCTACAGGTTCAATTCTTACTCCCGTACCAAGAAACTCAATCGTTTTGCACTTCAACTCTTCAGCTAAGTTCTGCAATAGCGATGCTCGTGTTCTCAGTTCGAGTTGGGCGAATTTAGCGGCTTTGTAGCATGCGTTCTCGGCGTTAATGAGTTTAGTAAGGAGAAATTCTTTGAGTTCGCGCCCCTTGCGGAATACGGACGGCTGGGGGAGAGTCGGTCCAAAAAATGGAACGTCCTCACGCGCGGTGACGGCCACTTTGTACCTGAAAACAATAAAGAAACATTTTTAATAACACTACTCATTCAAAATAGCCCATCAAAGTCCCCCAAATCCCCATAAATTGCGTCATAAGGAGAATATTTGCAATAGCTACCACATTTAGCAAGAGAGTGCATTTACATTTGCATTTGAAGTTATTAGAAAGATGCTGCTGCCCATCTTCTGGTTTGTTTCCCTCCGTCGCCTCTTATGGCACCCATAGGAAGATACACACACACACACATCATCATCATCATCATTACAGCCCTTCACAAGTCCACTGCTGAACATAGACATCCCCAAAGGAATGCGACGAATTACGGTCCTGAGCCACCTGCATCATTCGACTTTCTGCATGACTTACCAGGTCGTCACTCCATCTAGTGGTGGGACGCCACTTCGCCACTACACGGTTACGTTAAATTGACTACGTTTATAAAAAATAAGAATGAAAACCACAAACCCATGGACTAGTATTAAAGAGCAGCATTACCAGTCCGCGGTCACAAACTCTCACTCGAGAGACTCGAGAGAGTTGACTCTTTCTTACAAAAGGCATACAGATAAAAAGACGAATAGCTACTTTTCGACATTATGTTGTGACGATGATGAAAATATGATATCATTTTTAAAAAGAACTTCCATTTTTTTTTCAATTAGTCTAAGAGATGCTATGAAGTCTGTATTCTATAATTAGAAGTGCCTAGGCTGGTACATAATATAGAACCAAATAGCTGCTGTAATAACTGGGAACTATCAAAATATCGGTATTTTAACACGAATACCATTTAAACTTAATAGTATCATCTTTATCCAACAGCAAATTAAGGGTAAGGGAATTTCGCGCGGATAGAATACCTCCGTGCTATATTTGTCCCGGTAAAAAGCTTCCTAATTACAAAGTCGCAATTCGTTTGCATATAAATTACCTAGAGAATTTCCATTCTCTTTTCCGGGCAATTCTCCCCAGCACTTCATGCAAATAACGCCTCCGTGCGTTGTTGCAAAGTTACACAAACTTTATGCAAAACAACTTGACAAGTGTATAAAAGTGGAAGCGATGCAACTAAAGATGCAATTTATGAAAAGAGAAACGGCAATATAAAGCGGAAAACGCATTAAGGTTATTACTACCCTAAAGTTTTATACACACTTGAGCGTCTTTAAACAAAGTCGTTCCAGTTTAAGAAGATTTAGAATTTTCAACTAAATCGACAGTAAATTACGTTACTAACAAGATTTTTTTCTTTCTTTGCGATTCAGATAAGAATAGGGACTGAACTGGCGCCATATTGTGGCGTCATAGCTGTCAATTTAAACCAGTTAGGGTGAGTAAAACAGATATTTTTGAAATAATATTTATTTAACAAAAGAACCGTGAACGAAAAAATATTGATCTGAATTCAATTTCGCCCATCTCTGCATCAGTGTTTGAGTAGTCATCATTGTCATCATTATCATCACTATTGCTTTACCTTATAAAAACAGAACGTGGATTTATGTAGGTTCATAATATAATTTTATCTATATATTTATACAGAATTTAAAATATTCCACCGACTAATTTTAATATTTTAAATTAATTTATAAAAAATATTATGACTTCAATAGATTTGATAATACTAAGACTCAGTTAAATAAAGGGAAAAATACATTATTAATTCGCAAATGATTTTTTTGCAAGCCGTACTTTTCAAGTGACAGCTGACAGACCGTGGTCATTCGAAGTTATGACCGTTCCTATTCTTGTTTGAATCGCATTGTATTATGTTGAAATGCTTTCTGTATTTTTTTTAAAAAACGTAACCTCCATACTAGAATTTTCTTCTGCATCGTGGAGGCAGTGTACAAACATAAATTTCACAAGAACAAACGTCCAGACACGGAACAATTATTTGTAGGCCATACAAATTCTTGTTCCGTGCGGAATTCGAACTCGCGGCCCTTAGCGTTGCACACAATTGCTAAGTCACTGCGCCACGGAGCTGTCAAAACTTACATGTATTAACTTATGCAAAAAGTTTGCATAAAAGTTATTTCGAATGAAATAAATTTGAAGGTTTGGTGAAAATCAAAACAGTAACACAAGCAGTCATTTTATGTGCAACTAATAAGTTGAATATTGTATAATAATATATACTATTTTATAAACACCTAAGTTTTGTTCCTTTAAAAGTTAAGCGCAATCTTTAAAGACCCTTATCAGTCTACGCAAGTACATCGTTTAAACGATTCGCTGTAATCGCTTAAGTGCCGATTTCATCGTTTGCTTTGCAAACCATGTTTAATAAAACCACTTTGGCTTAGTTGAGTTCAAATAACTCAGGACTTGACCTCATTTTCGTAAAACCGATTATTACAGCTCGATTTTATGTGAACACTAAATAATATTTTACAATATAGTTACCTGGTCTCCCCGCCGATCGTCTCCATGGGCGTAACCACGATGAAAGCATGAAGAAAGTGAGAAGCAATCATGTCAGGCGTGAATGGTGTCGCCTTTTCCTGTAACGAAAATAGATGTGATAAAAAATAATTACTCTTTAATAATTAGCCTTCCTCCAAATCCAAATACGATTATCGTTAGTTGACTTTTATCGACATTGACGAATTTACTATAGTAGCAGGCGCTGGATCACCTTACGTTAAAAAAAGTTTTTTTTTTATAGATTTTTCTTTCAATTGTAACAAACAGTTAAGCCAAATGTATGTATTAAAAGTGACATTGAATAAAGTTTGCGCTTTTGGCCGCACGAGTGAAGAATTCGAAACTCGAATTTTTGCACTATGCAATTCAGCTAAAGGTACACGACGTAGGTACCAATAAAAGACGATTGTGGCAATATTACCGACAAGCCAGTTGCTCTTGCACTGTAGATGTTACGTAAAGAAGGCTCTAACAATTCAGCTGAAAAAGCGCTAAGTTACCTAATCGACGATCGCGCCAATATAGTTGCTACAAAACGACTGAAAATGCGCTTACATAGAATAAAACAAACTCGATGAAATCCTTGTCGATAAAGGACGATCTACAATTCAGCCAAGAAAGCGCTGACGTACCTGGAAGACGATCGCGACGATGTCGTTGCCGACGTGGCGCTTGCGCTGCAGCTGCTGCGCGTCGCCGGCGGTGTGCGGCAGCAGCGGCGCCACGTGGAACATGATCTCGCGCTCCATATACCGCTCGTACACCGCCTCCGTGCCCGTGTGCCCGTTCATTATGTCCAGCCCGCCGCGGTAACCTAGAAACAAACGGACACACCTTTAAATACCATCACATAATTAAATTTACAAGTAAAACTACAAATAAGATTAATTTTCTGATGAAAAAAAACTAGAAATCGGGGTATAATAAATGTTTTCTTGCTCTCTTGTATTTTTTTGAAAAATTGAGATTCGCCCCTTTGCGACGTCAACGACGAATTGCAGGTAGGCCATTTTTTAAATAAATAAAAAATACTCGTACTTAGATTCATCATCATCATCATTACTGCCCTTCACAAGTCCACAGCTGAACATAGGCCTCCCCATAGGAATGCCACAAATCACGGTCGTAAGCAACCGGCGTCCATGTATTTTAAATGCATAAGTATTAAAAAATCTATTTCTCATGTAACTCATTAAAGTATACATAAGCCAGCTATGCTTTTTTTTTATAGGATAGGGTGACAAACGAGCACACAGTCCACCTGATGGTAAGTGGTTGCTGTGGCCCATAGACATCTACATTTATCCTCGTTTGCGAATCAAAATGCAGATGCGTTGTCACCCGTGAGGACTAAGATTTTCCAGTAAAAAGGGTCTCCGGTTCTCTACACTCACCATACGAAACACAGCAGTGTCAAGCTGCTATTTTACGATGGTATTCTGTGAGAGCGTGGTCCTTCCCCGGTCGAGCCGACCCATTCGTGCTACAACTATACTACTAATATAGCTGCAGCATGGCTCTACCACGTAATGCTGTACTCTAATGCCCAAATACTCAAACGATGCTCAAATCAAAGTGACTGTGACACCACGAGTTATCTTAAAACTGAGTAACCTTTAAGTATTTGGCCATAAGAGTCAATTATTACATGTTGTCATTTTCCGTTTTTGATGTTCGCTGGTTAGAATGCTTTGCTTCTAAGTCACGAGTGCGTGGTTGGAATTACAGCCGCAACCTACATTTTGTAGACATGCACAAATTATTAGCTTTCGTGTAGAATTGTTTCGTGAATTGTTCCCGTGTTTTCAACCCAGCGTATTAGTTTACTTTTGATGTTGTCACATAATATGTTTTTCATTACAAAAGCTTCCAACAATATTTGGAAGTTGTCATCAAATATTTGTTTAGTTACCTGTCTAATATAAAATTGCTCTTAGAAAACGTAAATGATAGAGCAATTTTAGAAACGAACTCATCATCATCATCATTACAGCCCTTCACAAGTCCACTGCTGAACATAGGCCTCCCCCAAAGAATGCCACAAAACACGGTCCTGAGCCACCTGCATCCATCGACTTCCTGCATGTCTTACCAGGTCGTCACTCCATCTCGTGGGGGGACGCCCTACACTTCGCCTACCGGTACGAGGCTGCCACTCGAGAACCTTTCTTCCCCATCGGTTGTCGGTTCTTCGAGCTATATGGCCAGCCCACTGCCACTTCAGCTTACTAATCCGTTGGGCTATGTCGGTCACTCTGGTTCTACTGCGGATATCCTCATTCCTAAGTTTATCACGCAGAGAAACTCCGAGCATAGCCCTCTCCATAGCTCGCTGAGCGACCTTGAGCTTCCTCATACGGCCAGCAGTGAAGGACCACGTCTCAGTTCCGTAAGTCATCACTGGCAACACGCACTGGTTGTACAATTTCGTTTTAAGGTTTTGAGGTATGTCTGACGAGAAGATGTGTCGTAGCTTCCCGAACGCTGCCCAGCCGAGTTGAATCCGTCGATTGACCTCTCGGTCGAAGTTGGACTTACCCAGTCGGACTATTTGTCCCAGGTAAACATACTCGTCAACAACTTCGAGCTTAGTGTTCCCAACAACTATCGGCATAGGTGTGACATGGACATTAAACATGATCTTAGTTTTGTCCATGTTCATCTTAAGACCTATCCGTTGGGAAACACTATTGAGGTCATTGAGCATAGTGCTTAGGTCCTCCAGCGATTCTGCCATAAGGACTATATCGTCGGCAAATCGAAGGTGAGTGATGTACTCGCCATTGATGTTGATACCGTATCCTTTCCAGTCCAGAAGCTTGAAAACGTCTTCCAATGCAGCGGTGAAGAGTTTCGGGGATATGACGTCACCCTGTCTTACACCTCTCTGCAATTGGATAGGTTTCGTACTCTGGTTCTGTACTCGGATAGCCATCGTAGCCCTACTGTACAAGCATTTCAACACTTCGATATACCGACAGTCAACTTGGCACCGCTGAAGGGACTGCAGCACCGCCCAAATTTCGACGGAATCAAAGGCTTTCTCATAGTCCACATACGCCAGACATAGTGGCAAATTGTACTCTTCGGACTTCTGTACAACTTGCCGAAGGGTATGTATGTGGTCTATGGTGCTAAAGCCCTTTCGGAAACCGGCTTGTTCGGGAGGCTGGAAGTCGTCAAGTCTGCGCGCGAGACGATTCGTAATGACTCTCGAAAACAGCACGTAGACGCGGCTCAGAAGGGAAATCGGTCTGTAGTTCTTCAAGAGAGCGTTGTCACCTTTCTTGAAGAACAAGACCACCGCACTTCTGCTCCACGCCTCCGGTGTAATGCCACCATGGAGGACGGAATTAAAGAGCTTCTGAAGGACTTCAAGTACCGGTCTTCCACCCGCTTTCAGAAGCTCCGCTGTAATTCCATCCTCGCCTGGGGCCTTACCGTTTTTAAGGTCCTGGAGAGCCATCCTAATCTCGCTCAGACTGACATCCGGGATATCTTCGGAATAGTGTCGGATGAGACTCGCTCTTGGATCGTTACTCACACTTGCGTGTGGCTCCAACGATGATGTGTACAGCTGCCTATAGAACCTCTCAATCTCACTCAAAATCTCAGGTGTCCCGGAAACGATGCTGCCACATTCTGTCTTCAGCTTTGACAGTTGGCTCTTTCTGGCAGACAGATCTCTGGCAAAGACTTTGGAGCCTTGGTTCCGCTCGATCGCTTCTTCAATACGAGCTGTATTGAAGTTGCGTAAGTCCCGCCGCATGCATTTGGAGATCTGTCTGTTCAGATGCCTGTATGCTGTCAAGTCTGTTGAAGAATGTAGCTTCATCTCCCGTCTAACAGCCATGAGATTAAGAGTGTGATCGGAGAGTTTTTGTGTTCTTCTGCGGCGGGTCTTGCAGAACTTAGCTCCAACCGCATGGACAGTTTCCACGAGCTTGTCATTCATATCGTCCACTTCATTGCAGTCTTCTAGGCACTGAAAACGGTTTTGTAACTCGAGCTGAAAGGTTTCGGGACTTTGAAACAGAGCACGAGGGGGACGGAGCGTTGACTTCATTAGACGAGACCTCTCCAACTTAACGTTTAGGTTCAGTGTGCCTCTAACCATTCGGTGATCGCTACCAGTTTTCACCCTCGCGATCACGGAGACATCACTGAACAGTTGTCGTCTGGTCGTCATAATGAAGTCAATCTCATTTTTTGTGGAACCGTCGGGGCTCGACCAGGTCCACTTCCTGTGGGGCCGCTTCTGGAAGAAAGAGTTCATCATAAAGAGTCCCTCTTTCTCCATGAAGTCGGCCAGCTGCTGGCCCCTTGGGTTCCGTTGCCCTATTCCAAATTTCCCTACTTTCAGCTCACCGTTCTCTCTTGTGCCTAGTTTTGCATTGAAGTCTCCCATTAACACCGTATATTGGGTTTTGGAGGAATGCATGGCCCTAGAGATATCCTCATACATTTCCTCCACCTCCTCATCGGGGTGTGCCGAGGTTGGTGCGTAAACCTGTATGACCTTCAGCGAATACCGTTTGGTGATTCTGAGTATAAGGTACGCAACCCTCGTCGACACACTCCCGATTTTTACAACGTTGTTAACGAGAGACTTGTGGACGATAAATCCGACACCTCCTTGGGACAGATGGTCGCCCTCCCGGTGATAGAGCAAGTTGCCGGATTCGAGGATTACCGTGTCCTCCCCCTCTTTTCGGACTTCAGATAATCCTATAATATGCCAGCGCAACTTGTCTATCTCTTCTTCCAGCTCCACGATCTTCTCGTCAGTCCTCAGGGTGCGTGCGTTGTACGTTGCCAGGTCGAGTCGTCTAAGGTGGCAACCGAACCTCCACCGGAGATTCTTAGCACCCCCTGCCCCGCCGTTACCATGGTCGCCACCGTAGCCAGGAATAGCGGGGCCGCCGGGGACTGGGGGCCGTTTTTTTGTTGCTCTCATCATTGGGGGGTATTTGCCATAGTTGCCACGCTTGGCGAGCGGGTTGGCAACCGCAGTTTTTTTTTTATTGTCATTTGGCTATTATCAGGAAGATGCTGCTGCCCATCTCCTGGCTGTTTCCCTTTGTCGCCTTTTACGACACCCACGGGAGGATATGGGGTAGTGGATATTCTTGACCGCCACTACACGGCACAGAAACGAACTACTGAAACTAATTTTTATTGTAGGTTTCTGCAACCTGACTCATTCTAGAATTATTATCAGAAACTCGGTCGAACCTAGAGGGAAAGATCACGTTCTGGCAGAATATTTGCTAAAATAGCAGTATAATACTATTGCGTAACGTGTCATGTATTGTTTTTTTTTTTTATATAGAATAAGGGAACAAACGAGCACTTAGTCCACCTGATGGTAAGTGGTTGCTGTGGCCTATAAATATCTACATCTATCCTCGATTACGAATCAAAATGCAGACAATTTTACGCTGGTATTTTGTGAGAGCGGGATCCTTCCCCAGTTGAGCCGACCCATTCCTGCTACAACTATACAATTAATACAGCCGCAGCATGGCTCTACCACGTAAAAAATGATCTATGAAAAGGTGTTTATAAAATAATTAAATAAATATGTATTTTTCATCTAGAACTTATATCTCTAACTTAACGTCACTTGCGATTGTGGCGATGAAAAATAGTCTAATATTCGAGGTTTGAAATTTTGCTTTAAATTTGTTATCACTTTAAATGAAAAAAACTTACAAAATACTTGCTCTTGGATATACATGTACGCAATACCATATTTGGAAAGCAAAATTCTAAAAAAACTGGCTCTACCACGTAAAAAATATTGATTTCTTACGTGGTGGTCGTTACGTACTTCTACGAGATATACTCGTACCATCGTAGTTTTAGGAGCGACTTACATCATTGATGGATGAGTGAATATACCTCGCAGCAACTAAGTTTGTAATTCGTTATTTCTATAACAAAATAAATTCTAATTCATGAAATTTTCTTAACAAAAATAACGAATACATATACATATATAACATATAGTATATGACATATATTTATCAATATAACCATACAACTCTGTTATTTATTAAATTAAAAAGTTAAAAGTTACAGTCCATATACGTTCCACTCCTGGGCACAGGCCTCCTCTCATTTCTGAGGGCTTAAGGGCAATGAAATTGTCGTCGCACTGCACCAACACGTGTTGGCGAACTTCACATGTCTTCGAAATATTATTTTTTTGTTATTTCTCAGACATGCAGATTTACTCACGATGTTTTCCTTCACCGTCGAGCACGTGATAAGTCAGCACTTAAAATTGCAATTCACAACTTCATTGGTGCCGGTGGCGGGGACCGAACTCGGTTTGCTCGCGTACATTGTTTACAGCGGGCGCTTGGCCCCTGAGCTACCACCACGGGTCTCTTATATCTTTTTTTATAGGATAAGGGTGACAAACGAGCACACAGTCCACCTGATGGTAAGTGGTTGCTGTGACCCATAGACATCTACATTTATCCTCGATTGCAAATCAAAATGCAGATGCGTTGTCAGCCGTGAGGACTAAGATGGAATGCTTCCTTTCCAGTAAAAAGGGTCTCCGGTCACTCACACACACACTCACCAAACGAAACACAACAGTGTTAAGATGTTATTTTACACTGGTATTCTGTGAGAGCGTGGTCCTTCCCCGGTCGAGCCGAACCATTCGTGCTACAACAACTATACTACTAATATAGCTGCAGCATGACTCTAACACGTAAGAAAAATAACTAAATATATTAATAACAAACCTTTATGATCTTTCAACTTGATCCGCTGTCCTAACATCTCGAGGAACTCATCGAAAACGGGTGACGTTTCGTTGTTCCCAAACAATTCTTCCTCTGTGGTCTGTCCGTACTTCTGGTACAGTACTCCAAATTTAAAGTTGTTCACCAGCACGTGTTCGTCGTACGTCGCTATAAGGGGCGACGCGTTTAAACATGTCACCGCCATAAAGTTGTCCACGTTGACTTGTTCGTTCAGCATCTTAGCCATTCTTGCAGGTGATGGTGTTATGCCTGATCCTGTAATAATAGGAGACAGTGGCTTTATACAAAAATAGTAGTAAATTTGCCATAAGGAATGGTGTTTTAAAAACTGGACTCGAAACATGTAAACAAGAGAATTCCGCTGTAGTAATATATGTGCTAATTCAGTGGAACCAATACTCTTATATATTTTTTATACCTGTATGCGTTTACAATGTTTACGAAAAATGTCAATTATATCTAACCTAACCTTTGACTCGCAGTTTGTATTTATACTGGCTCCCTACATCCTTCAAGCTAACTAACACACACTGCGAATGCAAATACTGCTATTTGGCGATAGAAATAGGTAGAAGGAAAGAAATACCTACCCAGGGTGGCTACCTATTAATTCAGGCCACCAGTTTTGTCCAACGAACTCATAATGTATCGTAATAATTAGTGGCCAAATCTTTCAAGAAATAATCGCCAATTCATTCTTAGAAATTCCTAGTTTTTTTATAATATAAGGGTAACAAACGAGCACACAGTCCACCTGATGGTAAGTGGTTGATGTAGCCCATAGACATCTACATTTATCCTCAACTACGAATCAAAATTCAGATGCGTTGTCACACAGGACTAAGATTGAATGCCTCGTTTCCAGTAAATAGGGTGGGTCTCCGCGGTTTTCTACACTCACCACACGAAACAGCAGCATTGAAATGCTATTTTACGCTGGTATTCTCTGAGAGCGCGGTCCTTTCCCAGTCGAGCCGATCCATTCGTGCTGCAACCGTACTAACAATATAGCTGAAGCATGACTCTACAACGTATCATGTCCTAAGTTAATACTTATGTAGTAAACCTAATAAATAATATATATATTAGGTAATAGGTAGTAGATAATAGGCAGGTCCGTCTTCACCTTAATGACACATGGGGCATGATCCCAGGATTCCCGACCTGACAAAGGCATATTGAAACATTTGCTCATATATTTTATACAAACAATCAAATCTATTTAATAAAATTATATTTGCTAACTATAGTAGCCATTGTTCATTAATACTACGAATAAAATATTACTTCGCGTCAGTACTAAACGCTTATCCTATATATTTTGATCAGTATAATTATATGCAAAATAAATTCTTAATCCTTAATTACTTAACAATGTAAATGTTTATCATAAAATATTCTCTTATTCTTCCTTAGTAGACTGCAACTTGAGATACTCTTTTAGTAAGGGACTACCACAAATTAACTACTAGTATTTTTTAATCAAAAGTTTCTTTATTCTTTCTAACTTACTCTTAGAGTTTACATTCACTACTATTCCTTATCCAATCTTAAAATAATAATAATCACATTGGTAGAAAAATAGGTTATTTTATATCTATAAGAGTAGGTACTTACTAGTGGTAGGGATTAGACCATGCATAGTCTCTGTACGTAGCCTTAACAATATTCTTGTGTGATCCTGGCCTGCCATGTGTTCATTCTTGAGGGACATTACCACCGGGCTTTGGTTCTCGTCGAACCCAACCAAGTTCATGTGCTCCTGGTAACAAATCGTTTATAAAGTTATAGGTATATAGGTATTTATAAAGTTTGTAAAATATTGTTCTTTTTATAGGATAAGGTGACAAACCAGCACACAGTCCACCAGATGGTCGCTGTTGCACAAAGACATCTACATCTATCCTCGATTACGAATCAAAATGCAGATACGTTGTCATCCATGAGTACTAAGATGGGATGCCTCGTTTTTTTAGGACCGCGTGACGCAATCACATCACTTGGCTATAACATTTGAACAAAAACACAAATACGGTTGGTCTTTCGGCCTGATAGGTGTGTGTGCTTGACCTGTCTCTGGTACTGCATCATAGAATTGAATAGAATAGAATAGATTTTAATTGCTGAACTGTGTACAAGTAGTTGTAACAATTTTTAAATTAGTATCAACAGTTGGATGTTGGATGTGCAAAACAATATACAATAATTATATAAATTAACTTAGGTACAATTCAGATACATTTAACAACATGCACAAAGCGCTGATAAGATAAATGATATCGAATCAAAGAACTCTCTAATATTATAAATTTTTTTTGGATAAGCCATTTTTAATATTTTTCTACATACACGTATTGCGGTGACATAAGTACTCCGTACCAACTTTGATAAACTAGCTGTTCCCCGCGACTTCGCCCGCATGTTATTTAGGGTTTTAATTTTTTTGCGTGGAACCCTAATCATTTTTCTAAATTAAAAGTAGCCTAAGTTATACTCCTTGTGACATTAGCTATCTGTGTGTGAAAATCCCGTCAAAATCGGTGCAGCCGTTTCGGAGATTAGCCGGAACAAACAGACAGACAGACGGACGGACAGACAGACAGACAGACAAAAACTTTAAAAATTGTATTTTTGTTATTAGTACCGTATATACTTTCATATGCATTTAGTAAAAAGCTGTAATTTTGACATTACAAACAGACACTTCAATTTTATTTATTTGTATAGATATAGATTATTGTTTTTGAAGACGACATTAAATTAAAATATCCCAAATTATTTTTTACAAAAAGCCATAACTCTAGAATGTAGATAATTGTTAGAGAGAAAGCCTTTATCTTTAATTGTGGATCTCAGAGTCAGTAGTTCGCAAATCAATATACTATCCGTAGACATTAATCTGTCTTACATTGCACTCTTATGAGACATCGATAAAAGCACTATAATATCTCCTGCGCAGTTGATTTCTCCGACAAATATTAAAGAGTTGACTTTTTTTTCTTTTTTTTTTTTTGAGGAAGAAGGGTGACACACGAGAAGACATTCCACCTGATGGTAAATAGATGGTGAGGTCCATAGACATCTATTTATGTACATTTAACTTATGTCGTGGTAGCCCAGGGGCTTAGCGCTCGCTGTAAATTTCAGAGCAACTCGGGTTCGATCCCCGCCGGCACCAATGAAATCGTTAATTCCAATGTTAAGTGCTGATTTACCACGTGTTCGACGGTGAAGGTAAACATCATTAGGAAACCTGCATGTTTGAGAAATTAAAAAAAAATTCGAAAACATACCAACATACATCGCGACGGACACTTCCTTGCCAAAGCCCTCTCAGAAGTGAGAGGAGACCTGTGCCCAGGAGAGGGACGTATATAGGCTTTACTTTACTTTACTTTTATGTTATTATCTATATAAATAAAATGACAGACGTTTGCAGATGTGCGCGCATCACGGAAAAAACTACTGGATAGCTTTCAATTAGGTTTTCCAAGTTTAATTTCTTAGACAATTTGCCCTTATCTAAAAAAAAATATTGCGATATCTTCATTTAATATAAGTCATAAAAGTTTTAAGAAACAACGATTTTTATAAGCACTACGTGTTCAGTGATGTGTGTTTTCTTGATATACCAGGCAACGCGGACGAAGTGGCGGGTATCAGCTAGTCATAAATAAAGTAGTTTGTTTGCCCAAAGGCATAATCTACATCTTCTAATATGTATGAAAAATCAAAATGCAGCTGCGTCGTCGTGGCTAGGACTAAGATGGAATTTGTAAATATTTGCGTAATTAAATTACACTAATGACACGTGCATGTAATTAATAGAAACTAATATTTCAAAACAGGAAAATCATGAAATATAATTTCTAGCCAATTTAGTGTTCCATTTATAAACATATTCGCAACACACAATACGAAATAACATTAAATTAGCAACAAAAGTCTTCCTTATATGCTCGAAAACAATCTTAAAAGGAAAATGTTTATGCTGGGTTTCCACGTATACGTGATACCCATTGTTGGGATTGAGGACAGTTATTTTTGGATATCTCCCAGTCGTAATAAAATGCATAATATGCCGACATATCGCAATTACAACAGGAAATTTCAAAGTAATTAAGTACAAAATAGCAAAACAAATATTGACTACATAATCACTTTGTCCATTTCAATCATTACGTCATTAGACACACCCTACAACAATGAAACAGCGTGAAATATGATGGAAATGTAATATTTTGGCTGGGAAGGTTACTAGATATAAGGGTTTTCACATTAACGTCTCTTTTATGTAACTTGTTGTTTTATAGCATAATAATAAAAGTATAAATATATTTGACTAAGTTTCGCTTTTTATTAGCGTAATAAATATAAAAATATCACATGCGATAGCTGTTCTTTACAAGATATACAAGTAATAAAACATCAAAACGTTTTACATAATTTATAAACACAAGGCTTTAGTAGAAATATTAATCTATCTTGTTTTATTTTTCTTCGGGCTAGAAATACAAAATAGTCCAGTCACAACATATTTTCTTCCTTGTTTGTGTGTATTGATTGTAATTGGTGTTAGATTTTGATGGAATTTATTCGATTATAATGTGTGTCAGCTAAAGTATAAGCTTACCAGAATCAGAAGCGGTGGTTATTATATAATATAATCCTTCTACTGTTTTTTTATCTTTTTTGTGTTACATTGACTAGGAGAAAGTATAGAGACAGCTTGTAGCTACCGACGGTATCTCGTATATGACAGATGTTAATATCCAGACGAATGACGGGGAATAGAATGAAAGCAGTGAGATATTAGGTACTGCGCAGATAAAATAGTCTCCTTGGCAATTTCTTTCTACGTTGGGAGATGTCCATGTTTATCAATACTTTGTTATGGGTCTAAAAAAAAAGGGGATGATTGTATTTACAGAAATTTTTACTTTCTTTCTATGTCAGCTATCAATCTTAGTTTATTTGGTAAAATAGTCATACAGATGACACCATTCGCATAATAGAATATCTCAAACAACACAACACAATTAACCGTGCGACGCAATCACTGAGTGAATCAGAGTTAATAGCGTAAGTGGTGATATCATTCACCGTTTTATTCTGATGAGACCGGAATAATATGGGCAATAAAAGCAGACCAACCTACTTTGCAATTAATACAAACTACTTTCAGACTACACGGGAAAGGAAAGTTACCACCCATATACATAAGTACGACCCACAGCAAGCCACAGGCCTATATTAGATGGTAACGGAGCAGACGGTCCGTCAACCTACTCCAGCAGGGCTAGCATGGGCAGGAGATAATTTTAGCCCCGGGGAAAGGAGAAAATGTTTATCCCCTCGCTTAGTTTTATCCACCCTTCGAGCATGGGCACACCGGTGGATATAATATCCACAGTAGATAAAATTGGAGATAGACTTAGACTTAGATTTTTTGTATGAATATAAACTTAAACCCACGTCCAATGAACTAGGATAAAATTGTCCCTTTCAAATGTCAAAAAAGCATCATTTTTTATCTTTCATTTGGGTCCATGCTACGGACGAGGGATATATGTCTTCTACTCGTTATGTCAAACAGGGTATACTTCTCCCCGTTGCCGTGCTTTGGCGTAAGGACTAGATAATTTTATCTCTTGTCAGTAGATATAATCGGGGGATATTTTTTTTGTCCCCTGCCCATGTACATGTGTCATAGTGTTAAGAGAATATCCTTGAAATATTTTGTTTTTCCCAGACTCAGACAGATGTCCTCATGACGTTTTCGTTAACCGCAGAGTACGTGGTAAATAAGTAAGTAATTAAAATTGCATTTGGCAGGGAGTAATGACGTGTTTTAGGTGGTAGAGCCACGCTGTAGTGTAATATACAGCACGAATAGGTCGGCACGACCAGGAAATTACTTTCACCGAACACTAGCGTAAAATAGCAGCATAATGTTGCTGTGTTTCGAATGGCGGGTAAAGAGAACCGGAGACCATTTTTAATGTTAAAGAGGCATTATATATTAGTCCTCAACTAAAATCTTAGCTTATTTTTCACGGTATTATTATAAGAAACTTTTCGATACAGATAACCCATAAAAGGATTAATTATAAATTAATTAAACCTGAATTGTAGGATCGTAGCGAAATCTCCCGTTTTCTAACCGCAGAAAATAAGGGTAAAATGTACATACAGTAGTCACTCATTACTTATGACAATTATTTTAGTACACCATGACATATTTTTTTATGTGATAGAGCCACGCTGCGGCCAATGGTAGATACATAACGAATGGATCGTCTCTACTGAGGTAGGCACATGCTCTCACAGAATACTAGCACGAAACAGCGAAATAATGGTGCTAAGACACCCTACAACAATAAAACAGCGTGAAATATGATGGAAATAGCTATACATAACGAATGGATCGTCTCTACTGAGGTATAATGGTGCTGTTTTGTATGGTAAGTGTATGACTCTTTTTACTGGTAACGAGACTTTCGATATTAGGTAGTCCTCAGGACATCTTCATATTGACTCTTAATCGATGATAGATGTAGATTTCTATGGTCGCCAGTATCTATTTACCTTCAGGTGAACTGTGTGCCCGTTTGTGCGTTGTGTATTCTATAAAAAAATACATCTATAAAGAAACAAAATAATGTTAAGTGGATGTGTTAATTAGTTTTCACATTGTCTGATACATTGACCTCGCCAAACCCTATTTTATTAACAAAGAGAGACGTCATTGAAGGCTAAGCT